CACCCCCCCCCCCTTTGTGTCCTCATTGAGGAGATCAGATCTGACTGTCTATCATCCACCGTTGTTCTTTGTATCGCACCCACCCACCCCTTGTGTCCTCATTGAGGAGATCAGATCTGACGGTCAATAGTTTGGTGTGCTATAAATGTATCTCTTAGAGCAGTGGTTCTCAACTTTTCTAATGCCGCGACCCCTTTTTACAGTGAGCACCCCTAACCACAAAATATTTATCGTTGATGCTTCATAACTACGGGTATATGTGTTTCCGATGGTCTTAGACGACCCCTCTGAAAGGGTCATTCGACCCCAAAAGGGGTCGCGATCCACAGGTTGAGAGCCGCTGTGTTAGAGGCCCCCAGGCAACAATTGCCGAACCATATAACTGACTCACCTTTCTTGCCTTTCGCTGTTAATTTCCACTTTGTCATCCAGAGTTTCCACTTTTTCGTCCAGAGTTTTCACTTTTTCATCCAGAGTTTCCACTTTGTCATCCAGAGTTTCCACTTTGTCATCCAGAGATTCCATTTTGTCGTCCAGAGTTTCCACTTTGTCATCCAGAGTTTCCACTTTGTCATCCAGAGTTTCCACTTTGTCAACCAGAGATTCCATTTTGTCGTCCAGAGTTTCCACTTTGTTATCCAGAGTTTCCACTTTGTCATCCAGAGTTTCCACTTTGTCATCCAGAGTTTTCACTTTGTCATCCAGAGTTTCCACTTTGTCATCCAGAGTTTCCACTTTGTCATCCAGAGGCAAAGCTTTGAGATCCCCAATTAGAAAAATAAATTTTACAGAGGGAACCAAATCTTTAACTATCCCCCGAGGAATTTTCTTTACCGGGAGGAGTTCGATTGATTGTTACTTGATGACTGATCGTTATAAAAAATCAATATAGATTCGGATGGCTTCTTAGCGTTCTTTCGGCAGTTAGAAAATTAAAGACGTTCCCTTAACTCTAAAGATTGGACAAGACAAGTGTCTAAGTAAAATGACCAAGGTGTTGGGTGGGATGATTTCATTGTTGGCACGGAAGCGTTTACAGTTTTTATGATTTAA